TTATGTGTTCCATTTCATTTTTGACAACTTCCAATTTTCCCAGATTCATACTTCATACATTCCATGTTCCAATTTTCAGTGGATGTTTACAGCTGTTTCTCTTCATTTTGAGTTGTGCCCCATCAGCACATGAAGGACCCACAGGCTATACTCTCAGGGGCTTTACCCCATCTACATCATCACCGTCAAATCTACTTTGAGGAGGCATCTCTTCCCCAGTTGCATTTTGAGTACCTTCCAATCTGAGGGGCTCATTTTCCGGCACTATATCTGCCAATGTTTCTCTGCTATTCATAAGGTTTTCAGTGACTAAATATTCGGAAGTAGTTTGTCACTCCTTCTTCCTAGTCTGTCTTTGTCTGGAAGCTCATCTGTATCCTGTGTACCATGGGTGACCCTGCTGGTGTTTAAAATACCGGTGGCATAGCTTTCAGAATCACAGCAACTCACAAGTCACCACAGGATGACAAACTGACAGATGAGTGGTGGAATGAAAACCATAGACAAGCATTATTGCTGGTCAGAACTGCATGTGTGGGCCTTGGCAGAAACTCTCAGTCTGGCAATACGCAGAGAGTCAAATGCAGTGAAAACAAAGGACACTTGTTTCATGCTCCTTATGGGTGTGACAAGGTCATTGCCACAGTGTCCTCTTGACAAGTATTCCCTGGCCAAATGTTCTGGAACAGGTGACACTAGATATGCTAACGCAAAAGTATTGCTTTCTAGTGCAGAGTAAATAAAAGACTCAAAACCTTCTCCCTTCAGGACTTACTCATGTAAAACAATACAAAGCCTAGAAAGAATAGGGTTAAAGGAAACTTTTGTACCTCCCCTGTGAATACAATCACAGGTGCACACACACACAGCTATGAATATACAAACTCCTCATTGCGTTGGGCTCCAATCATCTTCTGCATTACCCATGAGGAGAGTCCTGCCTGCCACTGAAATGTTTCCAAGGACCCCATTGGAGAAGACAGAGGTCTGTTAAGGTCAGCGATACAGAGTAAGGAATCACCCACCATTGGTTTTTTCCAAATTCTCCACTAAGTACTGGGCTTCCTCCTGAATTCGGTCCTCAATACTCTTCTTCCCCATCCCGAAATTTCTCAGGGTCATGAGGCCAAAGCGGCGGAGAGACTTCCATGTTTTTCCTTGGCCGAAAATGATCCCTACCAGGAGGAAGAACAAAAACTAGGAGGGAGGTTCTCCGTAAGAAAGAGGTTGTTAACCTAGGCAGACAGAAGAATGGGCCTGGCAGCTTTAATTTCTGTTCAGTCCCCTACTTGTCAAAGGCACACACTTACCAGATCCTTTATGAACTTTCTCAATCAATGGGTGATTGCCTCTTTCAGAAAACTCCTCTCCCTGATCAACCAGAGCTTCCTTCACTGCTTCATACCCATGCAACACCACTGTGGGCTTCATGCCAAAATACAGAGTGAACACAGGCCCATAGGCTTTTGAGAACTGAAAAAAGGAAAGATGATGCAAATATCAGGAAAAGAGCAATGTTTGTTCTATATACTGTATGATTCAGATTATTATTACAGTAGTACTTTGATGCTTTCATATTACAATATGCAGCTGCAGATATTTCTGAAATGTATACAGAAAGGATGGTAACATAGCAGTCATTTATGGAGGGCCACTGATATACCAGATAATAGACAAGACACTCAATCTACACATTGTTACAAACAATCCTCAAATCATCACCATTAGCATTTTAACTTACACTGAAAACCAAACCCATTGTGGTCAAGTGGATTCTAAGTTACCATGTGCTACAGAGTTCAAGTGTGGTGGTGTGCCTTGAAGCTGTTTCCACTCATAGTGACCCTATATAGGGTTTCTGAGGCTGAAAATCTTTACAGTAGCAGAAAGCTTCATCTTTTTCCTCCAGAGTGGCTGGTAGATTTGAACTTCTGACTTTGTGGCTGGCAGTCCAAATCATAACCACTACGCTACCGGGGCTCCTTGAGTATAGGCATACCACCGAGATAGTGTAGATTCAATTTTAGTACACAACAATCAAGCCAAATATCACAAGAAAGCAACTCCCATGAGTGTTTCTGTTTCCCAGAGCATATAGAAGTTATGCTTACATTATGCTCTAGTCTATTACGTGTGCAACAGCATTATGAGCAAGTTGGAAATATTGTGTGATTTGCCAAACTGTGACACAGAGACATGAAGTGAGCACACACTGCTGGGGAAATGGTACCCATAGGCTAGCTCAAGGCAGGTTCTTCAATGTGTAAAAATGCATATCTGTAAGGTGGAATCACCTACAGTCTGTAGAGACGTTTCATAGGATTTTCTTGGCTACAATCTTTCACAGAAGCAGTTCACTAGGCATTTTTATTGTGAATTGAGTAAATGTTTACAGAGCAGATCATCAGTTCTACAAAACAACAACAACAATTTCAACAGAAGTAAATCACCACACCTTTCTGCTGCCGAGTTGCTGGGTTCACACAGTCAACTTCCAGGGCACAGACTTGAAGAACAAGACTAAATGCCATTTACTTTATCCGTGGGGCCAAAAGCCACTCAGAGGAATTACAACAAATTTGCTTCATAGTTCAATTTAGTCACCAGTGTCAAGTGCAGTAATAGGGTGCATTATAAAACTATTCATTAGAAGCCCATACCAGCATACTCAACAGTTTATATACTTTGTTTCATTAGAATGATTGCAATCGCCTCCTTATACCATCAGTTAACAGTATTTGCCTCTATTCGCTTTAAGTCTTGCATTCCTCCTGCTATCTTCCTTTCCTCTGAAAACCTCCCTCCTGTTATATGTTGCTGGATGGGTTCAGAACACCAGCTTTTCCATTAGTAGCCCAGTGGATTGTGCTACCTAGGGACCTTTGATACGCAGATGATACATGCTTGCTTGCTGAAAGCATAGATAAAGATCAAAGACCACAGACTTTGGTACAGGTTGCACATACATTTAAAAAAAAACCCAAAAAACCCTCACTCCTTGTACCAATAAATAACATCCATATAAGTGGAGAAAATATTGAAGTTGTCAAAAACTTCATTTTACTTGCGTCCACTATCAGCACTCATGGAATCAGCAGTCAAGAAATCAAATGATGTATTGCATTAGGAAAATCTGCTGCACAAGACTTCTTTAAAGTGTTCAAGAGTCAAGATGTCAGTTTGAGGACTAATGTGCACCTGACCCAAGCCATGGGATTTTCAATAACTTCATATTCATGTGAACGTTGGACAATGAATAAGGAAGACCGTATTTGAGTTATGGTATTGAAAAAGAATATTAAAGGTACCATGGACTGCCTGAAGAACAAATAAATCTGTGTTGGAATGAATGTTCCTTATAAGCCAGGATGGCAAGACTTTTTCTCTGATACTTTGAACATATAATCAGGATGGGCCAGTCCCTGAAGAAGGATATCATACTTGGTAAAGAGGGAGACCCTGAGGAGATGGATTGACACAGTGGCAGCAACAGTGGGTTCAAGCATAGCAGCATTGTGAGGATGGCACAGGTCCAGGTGGGGTTTCATTCTTTGTACATAAGGTGGCTTAGGGTCGGAACCAACTCCATGAACAACAATACCAGGGACCTTTCCATTTACAGATAAAGAAACTGAAGTTCAGAGAATTGAAGTTTTATTTCTAGTCTCTCAGCTAATAATTAGCTATTATTGTTGTTGTTGTTGTTAAGTACCTTCAAGTTGGTTCCAACTCATAGTGAACCTATATAGGGTTTCCAAGGAGTGGCTGGTAAGTTTGAACCACCGTGTGGTCTAGTACTTACCCTAGAGCACCACACTAGGACTACAAATTAGTTATTAGATCTTGATCACAATATCTGTTTCAGCAGCATTTCATGGAAGAATCCTTTCTTCCATCCTGCAGTATTCTCAGACCACAGACAGCAGCTCTGTGCAGAGTCCAGAGGATTCTGTCAGAAGCCCATTCTGACTACTACTGTTCTTCATTCATCCACGCTGGTCCTGAAAACATCACTGATCCTTTGATATTAACTATAATGTGCTTGTTGTTGTTGTTATGCACCATTGAGTGGATTCCAACCCATAGTGATCTTGTACAGGGTTTCTGAGGAGTGGCTGGTGAGTTTGAGTCGCTGACCTTGCAGTTCATACTGACTGTACAGCCCAACACATTTACCCACAGGGCCACACCAGGACTCCAATCTGCTTCTTATCAGAAGTGTAATATTCATGATTAATCTGAACTAAACACATGGTTTATACAGTAAATAACTTCCAATTGACCTTTTAATCACAAAACACTTCCAACACCATTTAACTACTGCAAAAATATTGCAGCAAGCTCTGTGAAACAATGAGGGGACAGCATTGCTCCCTCCTTTTGCTCTCTTCACAACCTAATTATTATTTTATGTTATTAAACATCTTATTCTATGTTACAATAATCTCAATGTTCTTCTTCTCCAAAGTGCATTATTTGCAGTAAGGCAAGGTTACAGGATAGACACATCAGAGTTCCAGTGATGGGAAGTGCAATATACAAGGAAGGGGAGGTCAATACATAAGAATGTGGAGGGGTGTGGAAGAACAAGGTAGATAAGGGAACACTTAGGTAGGTTTACATGGGCTAAATGGCACAGAGGTAAATAGTTATGTGTGCTCAACTTTGAAACAAGAGGGCTCTGTGATACAGGGATTGAGGTATAGTCTGAATGAGTGAAAGAGCAGAAATAATATTAAGGGGCTTGACTGTCTTGTGGATATACAAGGAAAGGGGGGAGGGCAATACATAAGAATATGGAGAGGAATAGAAGTCCCCTAGCCGTGGGGATTAGAGCTGAGAGTGAAGCAGCCAGCTGATATGAAGTGGGAGGAGGCACGCAAGAACACCTAAACTTGCAGATAGTACTGAGTCGACCTAGCTTGGATGGCTTGCTGATCAGAACTTGACTAGAAGAAGATAAAGAAGTTTGATACAGGAAGCAAGTGTAAATTGCTACAATTTGATGAACTTGGCTTTTGCTTATGGATGTAGTTGCTCAAAATACCAACTGAGAAGGAAGAAATCTTCACATCAAGAATCAAGACCATCCCCCTCAGTACACAGGGTTGATAGTGACAGGCAACTCAGACACTGGCTACCTAAAATGGGCATGTGGAGCTATAAAGACATGAGGTGGCTGGCTTACATGTTTTCAAGAGTGTGCTTAGTTTCAGAGCAGGGGGATGTAGGGGGGTAGAATCCCCATGGAACAGTTTTCATCTTGTCTAGATGGGCCTGGTGAAAGGAAGTGAAGGAGGATGGGGATAGGATTCTTTTGATTCAATAGTGAGTAACTGTTATCACGACTAATTGCAACTGTTAAAACCATAAAGGTAGAAGCTGTATAACAAAAAGTGGGGAGTAGTTAATCTTTCATTCCAGGAACAGAGGACCCTAGGACCATCAAGAGAGAAGAACATGAGTGGAGTGTAGGATTCTAACCAGAAAAGCAGTGACACCAGAGATGAAAACAGAGATGATGGCATGGAGCATCTGAGGACTCAAGACCCAGAGAAAGAGAAAGGCTATGTGAGACTGGCTTGCAAAATGTACCCTTTGGTTGTTTAAATGAATATATATTTCTGTGTGTCTTGTGTACATCTCAAAAACAGAAAAGGGGGGAGGGAATAAAATAAAGACAAATACTGTTAAGGAATTTTTTTTTTAAGTGTATTATTGAATTCCTCTGTTTCTAAGGATGACAGGACCTCCCCCTAAAAAAAAAAACAATGGAAACAGAAATCCACAAGATGTGTTTTGCTTACAATGATGTGTTTTAATGACTTGCATATAGGAATTCATTCTATTTAAAAGTATATCTATCAGGTTGTTTTACTTACCTCCTGCAGGCTACTGGAAGAACACACTGTATACTTACATTGATGAAGGATTTGCTGATATTCTTCATATCTATCTGTAGAATATTTCCAATAATTGGGAGAGGAGTGGGGCCAGGTGGGAGCTTCCCTTTCCCATAGCTCTGTTTCCAGAGTAAAAGGACAAGTAAACTGAAGAGGCAGAACCCCAGGACCACAACAGGATCCATTGAAATCTTCCTTCTCACTCAGACAATGATGAGCTCTCGAACCAAAGTTTTTATAATGCACCCTGCTACTGAACTTGTGACTCAGGTGACTAAATTGACCTGTAATGTAAATTGTTGTAATCTCTTCTAAGTGGACTCTGGCCCACTGATAAAGATTTTAAAAAGTGTTATTTAGTCTTGGTCTAGGAATCTGTACCCAAAATATTGGCTGTTTGAACTCAGTAACTCAGCAGGTGCCAGGTCTGGCAATTTGCTTCTGTTAAAATTGTTGTTGTTTTGTATTGTCCAGTTGATTTTGAGTCACAGCTACCAGATAGGTAAGAGTAGAACTGACCCTTAGGGTTTCCTAGGCTGTGTCTTAAAAGCAGATGGTCATGTCTTTTCTCCCATGAAGCCAATTGGGAGGAGTTTGTTGTCTTTACAAGGAGGTGCAACCCATATTAAAGGCTGTGATTTTTAACTACATCTGTAAGTATTTTAGGTCTTCTTCACGTTCAGCAAGCAAGGTTGTATCATCTATATAATCACAGGGTGTTAATGAGTCTTCCTCCAATGCTGATGCCACATTCTTCAGAATCAGTTTCTCAGAGTATTTGCTCAGCATACAGATTGAATAAGTATGGTAAAAGAGTACAGCCCTAGAAAACACCTCTCCTGATTTTAACCCATTCAGCATCCCCTTGTTCTGTTCAAACAACTGTCTCATAGTCTATATACAGGTTCCTCATGAACACAATAAAGTGTTCTGGAATACCCATTTTTTGCAATGTAATTGATACCTTTTCATGATCCACACAGTTGAAAGACTTAACAATAGTCAATAAAGCAAAAGAAAACATCTTTCTGAATTATGTGATAGTTTACGAGGGAGAACATCAGCTTTACATTCATTCTATCATATATCATATATCATTGCCATAGTTACCATCCCGTCCATGCATCATCACCCAACCAAAGGGTATACCCTGCAAGCCTGCCCTCCCCGTCCCCCCATGGTCATCAGCACACAGCCCTTTCCCTCTCTGGATCTCAAGTCCCCAGCCACTCCATCTCTCCACGTCATCTTCTCTGCCTCCATCTCAGGCATCACTGCTTCTCTGGGTAGGGTCCCGCTCTCCGCTGTTCTCCATTGATGGTCCCAGGGCTTTCCGCTCCTAGACTGAAAAGTTAATTACTCCCCTCCTTGCTATAAAACGTCCCCCTTTACATTTCCAACCCTCACAATCAGTCTTGATAACAATTATTCACTATTGTATCACAAGAGACCCATCTGCATTTCATTTCATCAGCCCTTCCTGGACAGGCTGGATACTATTCACTGGAGACTCTACCTTCCTCCATGCCCTCTGGATCTAGGTTCCCTCTTGAAAGCTTGTAAGCCAGTCACTTCTAGCCTTTATAGTCCCCCTCCACCCCATTTTGGACAGCTAATGTCCAAGTTGCCCATCCCTGTCTACTCTTTGTGTGGCGAGGGTGGGAATAATTCTTGCAACAAGGATTTGTTTCCTCTTTTGAGCTGCTGCATCAAGTTCATCAAATTGTATCAGATGATGCTTTTTACCTCTTCTTTCTTCTTAGGGTTGAGCTCTGATCATCCAGTCATTGAAGCCAGGTCAAGTGGGTATTATCTGCCAGTGTGGGTGTTCTTGCATCTGTCCTCTCTCTTCTTATCAGCTGGACATTTCACTCTCCACTCTAGTCCTCTGTGGCTATGTCACTGACTTTGGGCCTATGAGTCCCCAGGTCTTGCCACATTGCTGGCCGACCAGGTCTCCACCCGGGTTCACAGGAGTCTATTGAACGATGTAGGGCTTAGCTCGCCTCTTCATTGCTGTTTTTCCCTCACTTCCCCTTATGGGTGAAGTGCGTGGTCACCAATCAGAGCGTGTATTCCCATTGTGTCTTAGTCTTGGAAGAGGATTTGCACTGAGAGGACCCAACCACTTGCCTTGATGTCTCCTGGGCAAGCAATTTGCTTGTTCTTGCAGTAACAGTCGGATTGCCTTTATTGTTTTGTATTTTTCCTGTAGGTCTTTCTTTCAAGAAGTATCTTCTGTTTTTCTAGTTGCTCCAGGCTGGTCTGCTCATCCTTTCAAGTGGAAGAAAACATCTTTCTGGTATCCTCTGATATCAGCCAAGATCCATCTGATGTCACAAATAATATCCCTTGATTGTTCCACGTCCTCATCTGAATCTGGCTTGAACCTCTGGCAGTTCTTGTAAAGGTACTGTTGTAACCGCTTTTGTATTATCCTCAACAAAATTTTACTTACATGTGATATTAATGATATTGTTCAATGATATCCACATTCCATTGGGTCTTCTTTCTTTGCAATGGGTATAAATATGAGTCTCTTCCAATTAGTTGGCCATGTAGCAGTCTTAAAAATTTCTTGACATGGATGAGTGAGTGCCTCCAGTGCTGCTTCAGTTTGTTGAAAGATTTTGATTTGTATTCCATTAATTCCTGAAATCTTGTTCCTTGCTGGTGCTTTCACTGCAGCTTGAACTTTTTCCTTCAGTACCATTGGTTCTTGATCATATGTTACCTCTTGAAATGGTTGAACATTGACCATTTCTTTTTGGTACAGTGACTCTTTATTCCTTCCATCTTCTGTTGATGCTTTCTGCATCATTCAATAATTTGCCTGGAGAATCCTTCAATATTTTAAGTCAAGTTTTAAATTTTTTCTTCAGTTATTTCAACTTGAAAAATGCTGAGTATATTCTAACCTTTTGGTTTTCTAACATCAGGTCTTTCTTTGCGCATTTCATTATAATAATTGACTTTGTCTTCTTGAGCTGCACTTTGAAAATTTCTGTTGAGCTCTTTGACTTCCTCATTTCTTCCATTCGCTTTAGGATCTCTACGATGAAGAGCAAGTTTCAGAGTCTCTTCTGACATCCATCTTGTTCTTTTCCTTCTTTCTGGTCTTCTCTATGACCTTTTGTTTCTTCCTGTATGACGTTCTTGTACCACTCTTCTGGTCTTTGATCATTAGTGTCCAATGCATCAAGTCTGTTCTTAAGCTGATCTCTAAACTCAGATGGAATATGTTCTAGGCCATATTCCAGTTCTCATGAATAGTTTTAATTTTTTTCTTCTTCAGTCGGAACTTATGAGCAATTGATGGTCAGTTCCACAGTCTGTCCCTGGCCTTGTTTTGGCTGATGATATTGAGCTTTTCCACAGTCTTCCCACAAATGTAGTCAATTTGATTTCTGTGCACTCCCTCCAGTGAGGTCCATGTGTACAGTCATCTTCTATGTAGTTAAAAAAAAAAAAAATGTTTGCAGTGAAAAATCATTGATCCTTCATACAATTTGATGAATTTGACCTACACCTATGGAAGCAGTAGCTCAAAAGAGGGAACAA